AACTAACTTTTACAAGCTGAAATAAGCATCCATTCGGCCATATAATTGATGTAAAAATTCAATTAGAGTACCTTAAAAAAAAGCTTAGAGGAAAGGGAACAAAAGAGGCTCGAATGGGGCTAGATCATGACTTCGGTTGATGGCAACGGCCTCGGCTTTTGGCTGGAAAGGACCTCTGAAATGCTCGAAGTGGTTCGAAACTTACAGCTCTCAATCCTCCTCTGTTCAGGTTACCCGGTGCTCACGTGAAGGCAGCTGCGGCGAGCTCTCGGTTGCTGCGGGTAAAGAAATTCTGAGGGCTGGGGATTGATTGCTAAGCGTTAAGTCATCTTTGTTTGGTGTAATTGATGTAAATCCAAAGGCATAAGTAAGATGAAGGCTTCAGGTGGTGAGGGGAATTTATAACGTGGGTTAGCCTTTTGAATTTTAAATGAGATTGAGAGGTGAGGGAGACTTGAGGTGCGAGTCTGATGGGGGTTTGTTATGACCTGGTCATTATTTTCTTGTTGGGGCTGGTGATGGAGCTGAGGAGAGTGCTACTGGGGTAAAGAAAATCTGAGAAAATTGAGGGAGTGGGTTAGGGTTTGCTTGGACTTGTTCTTGTGTTATATCAACTCTTTAAATGTACTAAAGGGCCGAATTACTTAGAAAAGAAAGGTACAAAACGTAGGCAAAATACTTGGGAAAATTTCGAGACTTGGGCAAGAAAATAGAACTTAGGCCAAAATTACTAATTAGGCTCTAGAACAAAATCAGTTTAGGCCGAACTTAGCTTGAATTTTCGAAAATCTTTGCCATGCGTAACTTAGTTAACTTAGGAAAATACAATAAACGAGCACACGAACAATTAAGCGAGTTAAAGAAATAATTAAGCAATTAGACAATTAATAACTAAGCAATTAAACTATTAAAACAATTTAATCATATAAACAAATAAGAAAATTAGGTAGACGAGGACATCTACTTAATTTGATTATTGGATTAATTCATTTAAATGCAAAATCGAGCTAAAAATGAAATGCAAGTGGTCTTATTCTATTATTCATAAAACGGGGCGTTACAAACCTAACCTCCTTAAAATATTTCCGTCCTCGGAAATTACATGGAAATAAAATGCATAAAAAGACTCAAAATGCAAAGTTCGGATATTTAATCTGCAGCTCTCTCTCACTCTCCCAAGTCGCCTCGTCCTCGCCGTGGCGGCTCCACTGA